TAGCTCGTTACTGACCAGGGCCGATAGTTTTTATCTTGCGTTGTCCAGGATCTTGTGCGTTCCTGTTCCACGAACCACAAGTTCACAACGGCATACCATTCACAAACTAATGGACTTACAGAGCGCCTGAATCTCACTATCACCGACATGTTGATGTATGTTTCTGCATACCCCTGCGACTGGGATGCAACGTCGCCCTACGTCACCTTTGCTTACAACTCCTCTAGACATGACACCACAGGCTCTTCCCCGTTCTACCTTCTTTATGGACGTGAACCCTCTCTGCCTCTCGATACACTCCTTCCCGCTGGTTCAAGCTCCCCTGTCACATACGTCCGCGATGCCATAGAACGAGCCGACGGAGCACGACAGATTGCCCGAGAACGACTCACACTTTCTTAAGCCTCGCAGAAAAATCTGTACGATCGTCACCACCGCGAAGTTTCGTATGCACCAGGTTCACTAGTACTCTTTGGACCCCCTGTCGTCACATCGGCCTCTCGGCAAAGCTCTTATTTCGCTATGAGGGACCATACAAAGTCCTACGCAAGGTCACTAACCTCACCTACGAGATACGGCGAGTCGTCCATACGGTGCACTCAACGCCACCACCATCTACTGTTGTGCACGTCATAAGACTGAAGCCTTATATGTCGCCCAACACTTTAACGTCGCGGGGTAGTGCCACAAGGCAGTAGTGGGATTGAGGCATAAAGCAGTAAAGGGTCTCTGCTTGGAAGCAAAGACTACGAGAAGTGGATAAAGACTGGTCCCAGCCCGCGAGTGTGTCAGCCATTGCCATCGCAAGTAAACATCGTATATATCCGCAATCATGCGTTTTCTTGTAAGATTATAGTCATGTTTTCTTCCACCTTTGCTGATCATCTGCAACGCCTAGATGAAGTACTCGCATGTCTCTCGAATGCTGGACTTCAACTAAACACAAAGAAGTCCCAGAACTTTTACAGCTGTGTTGCCGAAATGGCACATCTCGTTAGTAAAGATGGCATCCAGCCCAATTCAGAAAATTTCCGCACTACTCAATTTTTCGCGCCCCTTTCTTTCCAAAGAACTACGCAGTTTCCTTGGACTCGCATCATACTTTCGCCTCTTCATTCGCAACTTTGCCACCATTGCCGCTCCTCTCCACAAGCTCCTTGTTAGTACTGGTTCCTTCGATTGGAGTTCTTGACATGGGGCCTTGCACTGATCATTCAAGCACGCACTGACATCCCCACCGGTGCTTTGTTATTTAGATGACAAGGCTGTTACACAGCTGACGCTAGCGGACAAGGAATCGGTGCCGTACTCCTCTATCGCGACCATGTCTTTCGCGAGAAAGTTGTCGTGTATGCAAGCCGCACTCTGACCTCTGCACACAAGAGGTACTCGATAACCGAACAAGAGTCCTTGGCTGTTGTCTAGTTCCTCCAAAAATTTCGTCCGTATCTACATGGTCGACATTTTGCTGTTGTGACAGACCACCATGCTCTTTGCTGGTTGTCGACAATCAAAAACTTGTTGGGGCGACTTGGCCACTGGATTCTCCAGTTAAAATCGTATGACTTTGGCATCATCTACAAGACCGAAAGACAACACCGAGATGCCGACGCTTTGTCACGATGCCCTTTGCCGCAATCTTCGGCGCACGTCACATTCCCTTGTCAAATTGGCTATGCGGAGGACGCCTCGTCGATATCATCCATTTCTTCCCTACCTTCATCCACCCATCCTTCAGTACTTACCACTCACCAGTGAGACGATTCTTATTGCACTGACCTCATCGGTTGGCTTACCGGTGCTTCATCTTTCCCAAATGCCAGGCTCTGGAAACAACTCAGACTATTCAAGTTGGAGGACATTGTGTTCTATCGATACATTTTCCACACTAAAGGCCATCGATGTGTTCCCCTCGTACCCCGCGCACTACGCACTCAAGTTCTGCGCGCTTCACGCGACGTCGGGCCACTTGGGTTACTACAAAACATACGAGCGCATCTGCAGTCGATTCTTCTGGCCAGGTCTTTCCACGACGATAGCTAAGTATATTGCCTCGCGTGCACTTTGCCAACACCGCAAGCGGCCCACTACTGCTCCAGTCGGGACCCTATAGCCACTTTCTTGCCCAGCAGAACCGTTCTCTGTCGTCGGAATTGACCTCTTTGGGCCCCTCCTAACTACATCGGACGGCAAGAGATAGATCGTCACCGTGGTCGATCACTTCACCCGATACGCTGAGACGGCCTCAATCACTTCAGGAACTGCTTCCGAAGTAGCAAGTTTCTTCTTGAATGCTATTTACCTACATCACGGAGTCCTTCATGTTCTTTTGAGAGACCGGGGCAAGGCATTTCTTTCAACCACGCTCAGTGAAGTTCTTCAAGCATCAAAAACAGTTCATAAAAGATCTAGCTATCACCCACAAACCAATAGCTTAACGAAAAGATTTCATCGCACACTGTGCGACATGCTGTCCATGTATATCCGACCGGATCATCGCAATTGGGATGCCATTCTTCCCTTTGTCACGTATGCAAATAATACGTCAGTTCAACGAACCACATTCTCCATACGGACGCCAACTGGCATCGCCACTCGACGTTTCATTCTTTTCTGGCCCCGTCAACTCTTCACCATTCGTTTGCGACCAGTTTCTGTCCAGTGTTGCTCAATGCCGTCTTGTCTGTGTAAACACCGAAGCTAGCCAAGAAGATCGCAAACATCGCTACGATGCCACTCACCGCGTCGTTCTCTACCGCCCTGGTAACAATGTACTTCTGTGGACTCCTGCACGAACGCCTGGCTTATGCGAGAAGCTCGAGTCACGCTATCTTGGCCCCTACAAAGTTGTCGAACAGACCTCGCCGGTGAACTACCGTGTCACACCAGTTCATGCACCCACTGACCAACGCTGCCGCGGGACAGAGATTGTGCACATTTCACGTCTCAAGCCCTATCGTATGTGTTCCACAGCGCAATTGGCGGTCAGGCTGGCCGCTTCCGTCGACGGGGGAAAATTAATTTAAGAATTCGTTGGACTTCATCTGTCAATAACCATCAGTTTTCGCATCGTTCCTCTTCATTATCGGCGTCATCTTGCTGTTGCTTGACTAAAGCGCCAGCTGAACCGTGGTATTGCAATATATATACATATACATATGCTGAATAGCGGCAAGAAAATAAGCCTACCTAGTCTATATAGTTGTATATCATAATAAATAAAAAAGGCCAGACTCGTTTTGGCATTCCTCTGAAAAGTAAGAATCTAGTAGTGAGCAAAGCTTTGACACACGCTTTTGCGACAGCCAGCTGCGTAGTCTTGTCCGCTCACGTGTGTCCCGGGAAGACTTAAGCGAGTTGTTTTGATGGAAATGAATTCTGTTAGTTGTGTTGAGACTTTCACCTTAGTGGGGAACGCTACTCTTTCACCTTAGTGGGAAACCCTACCCTAGTGTGTTTGGCCTCTCCAATTCACCATAAAACTGCAACGCTGATAGTGGCGCTTGCAATTCAGATCCCTCCCTCCCCCTTGTTTCTTTTTTTTTTGTGATGTTTGTTTGTTTGTTTTCGTTTTTTTGTTGGTGCTGAAAAAAAAAGTCGACACTTGGCAAGTATGTAACCTAATATTATGTTAGGAGTAATCCAAATAAACAGCCATGCATGCTTGCGTAAATACATTTCATTTAGCATGTGGTACAACGGCTCCGGCTTCGAGGCAAATGTTCGTGTCCAAAAATGTGCAGCAAGTATTTGCTCCAAATGGTTGTTATGCTGCTCCGAAGTGCTATTTTAGTTGCTCCAGAAGCTGTGCCCAAATGGCTTCGTTCAATCGCATCACTAATTTACTGATGGCTGCTCTAGATTTTACCATATACAATCCTAGATTATCACAGTGATGCTATGCAGCAATCTAGTGAGGGAAATATACTTTTTAGTACGGCTCATTCAGTGGAAGCATTGGTTTAATACATACTCGGGTCTGATCGCCCTCCAGGAGAACTTATCTGCGCTAGTGCCTATAAATAACATTTTGCCATGGTCTTGTAATATATAGGTCTTCATAGATTTGCCCTGCTTTTGGGTATGGTTGCATTTCTTTCCAAATCGTTTATTGTCTAAGACTGATCAGCGGCTTTGCATGCGAGAAACAAACATTCTGATATAGGTAATAGTGCTGATGTGGGTGATTGTTTTGGCAGAGCTGATGTACAGATCCTGATGTGTCTGATGTGCTGATGTAGCTCTGACATGCTGACGTAAAGACGCTTATGTACGTGATGATGCCTTGTACTCATTGCACGAATCTGATGGTGAAATCCTAAAGCCTCCAGCCTGTGTACAGCCAGTGCTGAGCCCTCATGTTTTTTGGTCACAGCCTCGGCATCTAGTGCTACCGCAGTATAGTTGCACTGCATTGTCAGCGGTCAGGGTTGTGTGTGGTTGCGTTTCCCTACAAACTGCACACTGTCTGTGGCTGACATGCAGTGGCTTTGCACACTACAGAACAGGATGCTGTTAGGTGTTTGGTCGCAGTTATGATGTTTGTTGACTCAATCTGTTTCATTCAAGTCACTGGTACAAGTTAACGCAAGTACAGTTTTGCCATCTCGCATAAGGTGTCTATATAGTTCGACACAACTCTAGAAATATGTGGCATGCCCTCCTCAAAGGCTGGTGCACACAGCCGGGCACAAATGTACGCGCACTCTATAGTAATATCTGGAGCCAGGCAGCCAGTGACCCTGCGTTGAGATAATGTTGCCAAGTGCATCAGAGAGACTATGTCTTGATTTCAGGGAGGCAATCGGCTGCAACGCTCGGTCATATGGCACGGAGCATCTTAGAGCTTCTCGGGTTGGACTGGGCTACTGTACGCACGTGTTTATTTAGAGTGCGAGTGCTATTCTTTTGGCAGAGAATGTTTGCTTACAGCGTGTTTGTGCTAAATACTGGCCGAGTGGTTTAGCGAATGTGTCTTGCTCTCTTGTGTGCACCCACAGCCCGGCAGCAAACAGTGTGGCAGAGCAGCGGCGCAAGCGCATTCAAGAGCTGGAAGATCGTGTTAGCCAGCTGCGCAAGAAGGTCGACGAGCAGACCCGTGTGATCAGACTCAAGGAGGATGCGGAGCGCAGTGCCAAGAAGCTCCAGCAGGAAATCTCTGTGCGTACCGTCTTTCATTTGCCGGGCTGCCTGTCCCAAAGTGAAGCTTCCTCTGTGGGGTTCAATGTTAAAGTGCTCAAGGGGCTTGCATTTTCCTATCTTGAAAACTTTGCAATCGCCACCTTTCTTTCATGAATGCTATGTCAAACTGATAATGTGCATGCTATTCGTGACCAGGAAATGCCGGGCATGCAGTGATAATGCAATAAAAGGCATGTAGGATATCTGATAAGAAGGGTGTCTTTTTCCCACGCCGATACTTTCTTTCTTTAGTGTTTGATGGCTTTCGATGCTGCCGTGTGGGACTGGGCTATGTTGAAGACATTATCTTTCAGTTTCTGGGATTACAGCTGAGGTTTTCTAGGTACATGAAAGAGCACCACCATCTGTCTAGACTAATGAAGTATTCTTTCAGACCTTTTATTTTATAGCAAGGAGGAAGGTTACTGTATGACTAAAATGTAGTCATAAAAGTTGTGGGCTTTTAGGTACAGTTTTACGTATATTCTAAGCAAGCCTTATGAGCAGCTTAAGTAGTTACTAGTGAAACTAGCCAGACAAAATAATACACGGACATGAGTTGAAGGGGCACTGACATAAAATTTCAAAAGAGAGAGATAGTAAGTTACGTAGATTTATGGAGAGGCATAAGCATACATGAAATATCAAAGGCAAAGATAACCTATTACATAGTCAAAATTGATTTTGAAGTGCATGCTGCATGACTGAGCGAGGTTCAAAACCTTCTCACAACACGGACATCAATGCGGTGAGTGTGTGAACAAGCCTGCATAATGAGTTGGTGTTAGCTGTTGGCTTGGTAGTTGGCACACATCTTGCGCTTTCGCTACTTGCGACTTCTTCCTTTGTGTCTGTGACTTTGCGTGTGCTGGCTTTACTGGCTGTCAGTGCGGTACACACTCTCGTGCGTGGCACCCGCGTCACAGTTCTGTGCAGTCACGTTGCCAGCTGTGTTTGCAACCGGAGCTGCTTGTGCCCAGCTCGGTGCTCTTTGAAACCTAAATTGCAACTGGGCATTCTAAAAACATTTGTAATTGGATAACTGTCACGCACTCATGCAAACGAGGTTTCCAGCCATGAAAAGGAAAGCGGGTTGTAAGCTACCTATTCCAACAACAACAAAAAAGGTGTAAAAAGGTGTAAAAAGGTGTCAATGCTTCTTTAAAAATGACGACACGATAGTTTTGTACCGGTGTCTCTTTTCATCCATGCTGATTTCACTAGTACAATAAAAAAAAAATCTGAAAGAACCAGGAAAACGTGTTCTCTAGACTCTCTCACAGTGAAAAAAACTGCTGTCAAATCGGATTGAAAACGGTACGAAACCATTTTAAAGGCAATTGTTTCACTTGAGCAGCAATTCTGCTCTGTAGACTTGCACTTACTGAGGGTCAGTGTAACTACCATAGTAATGTTGAAGACCGATTGATGCAAAAGTTCGGGACTAAACAAATATTTAGCTTCCTTTGAGATTTATATACTAAGATTCTTGGTTGGGAAAACCCTACCTGTGTTGTTTATCAGGTATTATAGACCTTATGCAAAATTGCTGTCATTTGTCGGCTGTCGTATGCACACTGCCATGTTACAGGCTCGAGCGCGGGGCAGTCTGCAGTAGGTGTTTGTTTGCGTATTTATATACGTAATGCATATCGACATGAGGCATGTATTGGCTGATAATCGCAATGCCGACATATTGCTGCATCTCTGAGACGAACTCTGAATGCTAAAGGAATAAAAATATGCCGTGAAACTTCGCCGCATGTTGTTTTTTCAAGCTGATGACGTTTCCAGTATGGGTTCCGGCTACTGCTCCCAAAACTCGTGTTTGCATTCTCCTTTCTAAGCAATTAAGCAAGATGTGCAGTGTCATGTGTACTCGTGTTCCATCAAATTGCTGGACACCAGAGCAAAAGCAGTTTTTGCAATGTTTTCATCAACAGCTGTTTAACAAGTGAAGGCGACTCGTATTCAATTTTTTTGCATGGTGCTAGTTAGACTTCAAGGTCAGCATCACTAAGAAAAAGCTCTTGGGACATGTACGAGACACAGACAACCACATAAGCATGACAAGTTCTTGCGCAGTCGCAGCAATTGAGGAGTTGCTTTGATAACTCTCTTTAAAAACATGATGAAGCTTGTCGTTAAAGGTAAAATATAAATCCTTAGAAACTCGTACCTTCCTTGCTCCAAAGGTTTTAATAGTAATCTCTGTGTCGCCAAATTGGCAAGTGTGCAGTGTAGCAGACTGTTGTAAGAACTTGAGTGGCTCATCGTGCAAATGTTTGCTCATCAAACGCATGGCGCTTGGTGCTTTTCAGAACATGAAGCAGGCCAGAGTGCAGCTCATGAAGCGAATGAAGGAAGAGTCCGAACGCCACAGGCGCCAGCAGACGGAGTGCAATCGCGAGGTCCGGGCCTTGCGGATGCGCCAGCAGCAGCAGTCGGCACAGATGGCTCGCATGGAGCGTCAAAATGCCATGCGCATCAACGTGCTGCAGCGACGTATGGAGGAGGCCCTGGCGGCGAAAAACAGACTCGAGGCTGCTCAGCGTCGCCGCCTGGAGAACCGTGCCAACGCCAGCGGGTTCGACAGCATGGCGTTGCGCGTCAAGGCACGTGTTCCAGGGGGTTAATGTGCAAGCAGGGCTCATTAAAAATGTCATCTTACAGCATTTGAAAATTGAATAAGGCAGAAGGTCGGGGGAAGACGAAAGCTTGAGGAGATAAAAAATTCTTGAACAAAGTGTGTAAAGGAAGCCAATGTTTTCGCAGGCAGTCTTGCTACTTGCCGCCTTGAATGAAATATTGCTTGGTGAAACGTTACCTTCAACGATGTCTCTGTGTTCAAGAATTTTTCATCACTTGAAAACAGAGCACCTGAGCATTTAAGGAAAGCCATTCCTGGTCTCGAGACCTGTACTAGGCCTATTATCAGCACACTTTTTTTTGTCTCCTTTTTTTTTTCACACATAATGTGAGTGGCCTGATGCAATTGTACCCTGCTACATTTAAGTCTTCACATAATACCTGATGAGCAGTATCTAATGCCATGCTATACATGGCCTCTGTAAGTGGTGCACAGTTTTCTCAGCAAGAAGTTAAGTTAAATAAAATGCACCAGTGTGGCAAGCAGCGCTGTTCAAAAAAGTACTGGCATCTTACAATTAGCGTACAGGCACAAAAGCTGTATTGCAAGTAGTAGCAGTAGGTTTTTACATTAGTAGACTCATCTGTAATGGATTAGATTTGTGAAAAGGCTCACTATGCTTCCACTTGTACTCGGTAATCGTTCTCGTGCATGCTTATTTAGAAGTTCACTCAATTTAATTTAGTGAAGAGTAGTAGAACCTCGTTTATACGTCACCCCACGTTTACGGCGAAGCCCCCATAGAAATAATGCAGGACGTGGCGGCGACGTTTACGACAGAGGTGAAGATGCTTAAGGTCCATGGATTTATAAGGTGCATGTCAAAGAACCGAAGGAGGACGAAATTTTCAAAGCCCTCCACTGCGGTTTCTCTTATAATCGTATTGAGGTTTTGTGATGTTAAACCCAATCATCAAATGTAGTGAAAACCTTGGTTATACAACATAATTTTTTTGTTGACCCCACATTTTATGACTCTCTTATACTATTTGAGGAAAAAACATCAATCTTTCCACTCTAATCTAGAGCAGACCAAACTTCAGCAGAAGCAAAATAAGAACTCGCATGCCCTTCAATTGAAGATTAGAAAAAATGGTGAATCCTGTAGGATATACCTTATTAGAATGAATTATTTATTTTCCTGGCTATTCGTGTACTCCTAGCTTTACAATCGCCCCGCCGTGGTGGTCTAGTGGCTAAGGCACTCGGCTGCTGACCCGCAGGTCACGGGATCGAATCCCGGCTTCAGCGGCTGCATGTGCTCAGATTTGGGCGCACGATAAAGAACCCCAGGTGGTCGAAATTTCCGGAGCCCTCTACTACGGCGTCTCTCATAATCGTATGGTGGTTTCAGGATGTTAAACCCCACGTATCAATCAATCAATCTAGCTTTACAATCTTTTTTGGGCATGCCTTGATACCATATGTATTCCGGGGCCTTTACCTACACAAGCTCATTCTACACAAAGCAGCTTCAGATAGCGACACACCTCATCTTTGGTATCGGAGTATTTTCACATTTTTGACCTGTGGAAACTTCCTTTGGAGGACGTGCAACTGAAGATCTGCTCGCTTTGCTTGAGACGCTCGTGGTCGCAGGCTTTGAGCGCACAAAAATAATGTGACACAGCTATGTTCGATGTGCAAAATTACTTTATCTGGACGTGAGCATTCATAAAGGCGGCGTATCACCGATTGCTCTTCACAAAGGAACAAATACGATGCGGGCAGTTCAGTTGCGCACAAACTCGTCCTACTCACACTGGCAACAAAATGTCCTCCTTTGTCATGAGGTGGTGGCAACGGCACTGTATCTTCCAACAGGAGGCTGCTGCCAACCAATTTTGGTTTAATCTTCACATGCTGGGAATTTTCAAATTTGACTGACTGGATGAAAGATGTGCATTGATTTTGATTTTTTAATTTGAGAATACATGTTCGCCTGCGTCTCCTCTGATTAAATGTTTAGCAGTTATTGTTAAAAATCATTTAATCTACCTTCCTCCGAGTAGTGCAGGGAAGTGTGGTAGGCTTTTTCATGCAGTCTGTACCCGTTTTTTGGGCAAGGCTGTATGTTGCTGCCTATATGGTTAGTTTTTCGACTCTGTGATTTCAGGATTACCTATGCTACAGCTTTGCGTGGTCCCTTAAAGGGACATTAAATAGGCTGAAACTTTTTTGCACTCCCCAAACAAGCTCGCCAATTCGTACAGCAGACCACCACCATCACATTTTCTGTTTCGAAAAACGATTTCCGGGCCTCTTTCTTTCTGACCAATCTCTCTTGTACACTCAGTGATGCAAGCCTATCTATTGGCAACTTGACGTACCACTGAGTTCTTTGATTGGTCATTGGCCCTACGAAACAGTCCAGTGCTTCGATGCAGTTTTGGTGCAATTCGATGCAATTCGAATTTTCGCCCTCTGCCATTTTGTAGAGGTCAAGACTACTGGGAAAATCGGTACAGTAAAACCTCATTATAATGAAGTGGGAAATAACGAACTATTGAATATAACTAAGCAATTTTAATTCCCCTTGAAGTTCTCATGGATGCCAATATATTTAAAACCTTGCTTTAATGAAGTGAAAATTGCATCACAATGGATATAACGAGCCATTCTTCGTCCACAATGAGCATTTACTGATCATTTTGGTATACGTCAGTTCAACATCTTATGGCGCGCGACAGTTTACCTCTCGCCACAAGTGCGGTAATCAAAACTCCCGCCTGGCGCTCTCTGAAAGCCGCCTGCCAACATGCGTGTGGGAGAAAGTCTCACTGCACTAATGGACTCTCCAGCACAGCAACTCGGAGGAGGGTGCGCGTCAGCCGGCCTCCCCACTCCTGTAGAATTCGTTTACCCGCCCGCGCATCTGACCTCCTTCTCCGGGTGGTGGAGATTGTGTTTGTGAAAGAGCAACACCACCTCTATCGGTCTCTGCCGCTAGACACGAGATGGACCACAGCAGCCGCAAACGTAAGCGCAAAAATATAAGTCGAGCAGAAGTCGACAATGTTGAAAGCCTGGCGTCAAAGGCAAAGATTTCAGCGATGTCACCAGTAGGTGCCACGATCGACCAGGTCCAGACGTGGGACGCTCTCCTTGACGCCAGCGTGGTGCCTGACTGCGACACTTTCTTGTTGTGCCTTGACTGCGACACGCGGTGACAACCGAAGAGTTGTCGGATGCGGAAATTGTGCTTGCGGTGACGGGCGCGCATGACGACAGTGACGAATGTGTCGACACCCCGGAGCCTAATGTTGGGGAACCCGGCGTATTGACGCCCTCACAAGCGCTCGATGCGACAGACCTCGATGCGACAGACAGGAAGTTCATAATGTACATTGGCGTAGCTTTCATTGTGTTTGAAGGTTCATTTATCCTCGTTTGTCTGGTCAAACTCTCAATCACTGCAACACCACGCGTACGTGAGATTCGATGAACTTTTCCAGCGAAGGATTCGTGATGCACTAATATTAGTGACCTGACTTGGTATTTGTACTTTAAAATTTGTTGTTGGGTGGTTTAGTCAAGTCCTGCTTCGCTTTGGATTACTGTCTGCCCCCTGAGCTTTCTTCTTTCGCTGCAGAACTGGCTGCAAAGTGAACTTCTTGTCGTGACCGAGAGCAAGAAGCTGGAGCACCACCTGGCTTCGCTTATTGAGGAGCGCAAGGCCATCGCCATGGAAATTCACATAGTTGAGAAGCAGCTGAAGGACCCCGACATGGTAGGCACTCAACAATGGGTGACATTTTTTTTTTGTGCTTTTAGCTGATGTATGAACCATTCTGGGTAGCTGTGAAAGTTGACACTACGTACAGCAGAGTTCACTGTTTAAAGGAGGACACTAAACAGAAATAATTTTAGCTACTTCAGCTAACTTCCTTTGGCAAACTTTGTGTTTAGACACTTCGGCTAGCTAGAATTTATTATTTCCACTATTCAATTGTCACTTACGGCAGCCTTTGCAGTTCCAGTGTTGCTTTGTGACATTACCATCACGAGTCAATCGGGCAGCTTCAGTGTTCATTGATGCGTATTACTACAGCAGACTCTTTGTAACTCGAGCTCTGCCTAAATCGAACAACCTTCAATATGATTGGCTTCATACTCGAGTTAGGCACCCCCGTTTCAACTCTCACTAAAGAGAACTCCTGGGAACATGTCACTCATATTTTTTAATTTCTTGGTTGATTTTAATAAAACTTGGTGTACTCGTGCATTGAAATTCCAGTTTGGAATTGAGTAACTTGCAAATGCTCAGCATACCATAAGTTTTGTTCCAGTGCATTTGGAGCATCTATTTTTGTTACTCCTCTTATTTTACAAATTTCAGATTATTTTGATATGTTGATTTACTTTGTAACGCTGTTTAGACAAAATCTAGCTCCCCGAAAGTGGCGTGAAATACATTTTAATATTGCATTTTAAAAACTGCACATTGCTTGAAAAATAAATATGCATTTGAAATCAACACGCTATTATCATGAAGTCGCCAAGTTTCATCAAAATCATTCTAAAAAACTAGGAGCAGTGTTCTTTTTTAAAGTAAACATATTTTTCTGGTCCCTTCACGTTCCATTGAAAAAGTGTACTGTTATTCTACAAAATATTGTTTTTGTTCCCCAAGTTTCATCGTTTGTTTTGTTTTTAAAGAGAAACATTTTGCGCAAACACGACTTGTAGAATGTTGAGATTGGGCATTGATTAGTATCTATTTTTTGTCAGTAAAATCCCATTCAATGCCTCAAAATTTTCTAATCAAATTGCTCCAGTTATCCTTCAGTCCTCAACTGACCATTCTTTTGCATGCCATACACGTCTTCTTCAGGCGCAAGCAGATCGGGTCGAGCATGATGCACGTCTCCACGAGTTAAAGAGCGCCCTGAAAGAACACAATGACGATATTGCCAAGCTCCAACAGAAGATTCTGGATGTAGATCCTGGTGAGTTCAGCAGCCTCACTGTTTCCCATTGTAATACCGAGCTGTACATTGTATGTAGGGACATGATGACTCTTAAATGACTCTTTTGTGCAGCTGTTTTTATTTAAGAGATGTAGCCTTGGATTCTCTTATCAAGCAAGAAAATCAGTAGTGTGGGTGTTAACTCGTAACGATTTCTTGCATTTCTCGTGTTATCTTCATGACATGGCATTTGGCCAAAATTTTTGATGTCTTACGTCACTTAGACGTTTTTTTTTTTTACTTCTGCAAATAGTTGTTTTAAGTTCGAAGCAAATAGTGAGTTTATTCGAATAATTTAGAATAGAATTCAAACACTAGTAATAAAACTTGTGAAGAAAAATGGGCATATTTATCGTGACCTAACTAAAATGTTTTTAAAAATTTAAATAGGGTCTCTATGCACCCTGTACGTCGGATTGACGTACATCGGATGTACAAAGGTGACAAAGCCAACATGAACATTGACAGGCTCTTCAGAGGATAATATATATATATATATATATATATATATGTATATATGTATATATGTATATATGTATATATGTATATGTATATATGTATATATATATATGTATATGTATATATGTATATATGTATATATGTATATATGTATATATGTATATATGTATATGTATATATGTATATGTATATATATATATGTATATATGTATATATGTATATATATATATGTATATATATAATGGACAGAAACCACGACCAGGATCTGCGGGTAAGCAGCAAACACCACACACTGTACAGCTCACCCCGCATACCTTCCGGCGCCGCGGATACAAAGCCGTCTGCGGTCCCCTAAATGGGAAACAGACCCTCGCAGGAAGGAAGAGAACGCGCTCGTACAACAAAGCCGGTGAGCCACTCAAGGACACCACCGCAAACCCTGCTCCTGGGCAGACCCGCGACATTGGAACGAGCCAAAAGTTGAAAGAAAATAGCTACATCTATATCTACGCGACAATATATATATATGTATGTATGTATGTATGTATGTATGTATGTATATATGTATGTATGTATCACACACACACAATGTAATGCCCCGCCATGGTGGTCTAGTGGCTAAGGTACTCGGCTGCTGACCCGCAGGTCGCGGGATCAAATCCAGGCTGTGGCGGCTGCATTTCCGATGGAGGCGGAAATGTTGTAGGCCCGTGTACTCAGATTTGGGTGCATGTTAAAGAACCCCAGGTGGTCTAAATTTCCGGAGCCCTCCACTACGGCGTCTCTCATAATCAAATAGTGGTTTTGGGACGTTAAACCTTACAAATCAATCGTCAATCAATCACACACAATGTAATTCAAACTTGAAGGGGCCCGAAAGCTTTTTCAAGCTCTCCATGCAACGGCGCATGTGCATTGAGCTAACACACGAGGGGGAAGTTTCAGAAGACTTACATTTATTCTCAAATTACGGGACATCCATTAATAATTGAAGTAATCGGTAGAGCATTTTCGGAGAGCGGTATGTTCGAATTGACCGTCGCAAGTGCTTGCGGCAGCAATTGCATTCTTTATGGGTTTATTAAATTATTAGCAACAAACCTAACTCGCACGTCTTCATAGCAATGTTATTCTAGTAACCACAATATGTCCATACAGACAAGCACAGGAAAAACTAATGGGTGTAGCACATGCTTCTAAAGATGCACAGGCACTGACCACGTGCTCGTCTTAAATTGGTTAATAGCAAGCAATATGCGAGCAAATGAATAACTCGAAACATGCCACGTATTAGCAGGGCTTATACAAATGGACAAAGTTAACGCGTGATAAGAACATATAAATGTCCGATATGAGACAAAGATGTAACACATGTCCTTATCTGTGCCATGCCAGTGATCAGGGTTGCTGCTGCTTGCCACGGTAACTTCTGTCGAAAACAATGGTGGGCTCGTGCTGCGTTTTGGTGCGTCTTGTAGAAAAGCAATCCTTCATAACTTTACATGTTGCTGTTGATGTCCACACGAGCGCACTTGAAAAAAAAATTGCCTTCTGCCACTCGGAGCCTCGAAGCGGGCTCAGCGTTCATACGCGTGGTGCAACACGAACAACCTGCTGGTCAAGCAGGTTTCAGGACAATAGGCACAATGGCGCACATTTCCTTCCAATACATCCGGAAGGGCTCGGCTAGCATGACGTGTACGTTTGAGGAGTTTGAGCAACTGTGGTGCACCGCTTGTTGAAAAGTGTCTAAACTGGCACATGAAAGTTTGCCTACATGATGACTGCTATGACGTACTCGATCCGCATTTTTCTGTTCACATGCAACACTAAATACATGGTTTCTTATGACATACGACACGCTTGTTGGATCAATCAGGTTGTTTTGCCTTGAGAAGCAAAATTATTTGGAATCCTGGGATCAAATGTGTGTGTGTGCGAAAATTTAAATGTTCTCATCTGGGATTATGCAGATCAAATACATTTTCACTACATTCTAATTTTACAATAGTTGATAAGCAAATGCACATATCCTTGCATTGTCTTATATGGACAGCCAGTCAACGTTCCAAACTTAATGTTCGGTCAGACATCCAATTCGGACGTTCAAAAAAACAGCCACACAAGACATGGCTTTTTCACAGTATGTCCATTGGCTATCTGTGTTGGATATCTATACGACCGGATATTTGTATTTATAATGGACAGCCAGAGGATATTCATGGTTACATCGGTATGGTGGTTTTGAAACTTTAAACTCTACATATCAATCTATCTACCGAATTTTCGGATATAACAAATGTATTTTTGTGCAAAATACAGCTTTGTTATAATAAGGTTTGGGTGTAGTTCAAAAGGTGAGCAGCAGAAAGCTTTCGGAGGGTAAGATTAATGCATTGACTGAAATGGCTTCCATCTTAGTCTAAGGCTGTTGCGTAAGGAAAAGAATTTTGTGACCAGACTTCCGTAACATCACACATTGTCTTAGCCACTCCAGTTCGCTTAATTTACTTACTTTGTGCATTTGATTTCTATCGGGAATACAGTCCAATGCCTGCGGTTACTTATGTGCAATAACTTCCTCGGTTTGGTCGTAAATTGGCCCTTGGCAGTTGATTCAATGTTCAATAGCCATAATGCACATGCCAGCTGACCCATTAACATCATTTTTACTTGACATCGGGGAATATTGCATACCCATGCTAGAAGGACACACTGGGCAAGTGCACAGTGTGCCCCACCTCCAGCTAAGACCCTTCTCACGACAGTTGTAAAAATTATTCGGAGATCCTAGGGTATTGCAGTTCACGTAGCCCCTAAGTATTTTCGGAACACCTTTCCGTGTGAAGAAATTAGTGAATCAAATGCAATTCTTTTCTCCACAGAGCGACACCTCAAGAACGTCGCCTCAAATGTGACGGACATCATTGAGAGCCGGGCCATCATAACAAATCTCTTCGAGATGGTGAGCCTGCCTTTGGTTGCGTCAAATTATTGTGCAGTGGACTAAAAACACTGTCGCTCTTTTTTTTTTACAAAAGTAATGTTTCTGTTAAATTTTGCTAGCAGGTAATCTTTACTTTTAATATGTTGCACTATCACAGTGATGAAAGAAAATACCAATTCCTGCACTCGTTTCAGTATCTGGTTGATCTTGTTGGCCGTCCTGCTTCACATTGTAGAACGGCCTCCAAAAATCTGTTGATAAAAAATGTATGTATCCTTGAAAAGAGACCAGAATATGTTTCCAGCTTGGATTTGGTAGAAGAGTTCTTTGGAATTTATAATTGGCATTTAGTAACTATGTATACCTGCTAGCCTTTACCACATCAGTTATCTTGAACTTCAGCATGGTGTGTGCTTTTATTGAAGATAGCCTATTCTCTCACTTATATATTTATATACAGGGTGTCCCACATAACTTGAGCCAAGCATTTGAAAATTGCATTTCAGTGGCGAATTGAACCGAACGTGTATTACCCGCACTAGCCTGTAGGTACTCTGGCTTTTTTTATTTTTCCCATACTAATTATTTTATATTTGATTACCCATTTTAATTATGGGCTGGAAACCCAAATATGAACACTGAGATGTAGAACACTTTCAGAAACCTCAGACTAAATTGTTTTTTTGTACGATATGTTTAGCGCTGTTCTTTTTTTCGCGTTGTAAAGAAGCCTATAGCAGTGCACTCGTGGTCGTCACACAGGTTCCTTTCACATTTCGCAGGCTTTCTTTACAATGTGGAAAAAATAACAGCGCGACCCCGCCGCGGTGGTCTAGTGACTAAGGTACTCGGCTGCTGCCCCGCAGGTAGCAGGATCGAATCCCGGCTGCGGCGGCTGCATTTCCGATGGAGGCGGAAATGTTGTAGGCCCGTGTGCTCAGATTTGGGTGCACGTTAAAGAAACCCCAGGTCGTCGAAATTTCCAAAGCCCACCACTACGGCGTCTCTCATAATCGTGTGGTATCAAAATACAGCGCGAGACGTATCGTACAGGAAACAATTCAGTAGGCGTTTTCTGAAAGTGCTTACATCTTGGTGCTCATATTTTGCGTTTCCAAGCCTATACTTCAAAAAATAGGCGATTAAGAATTACTAATAAATCAGTATGGAGAGAAATAAAAAAATAGCCAGAGTACCTACAGGCTAGTGTGAGTAGTATGCGTTTGGTTCAATTCGCCTCCTAAGTGCCTTTCACTTTGAAATTCTTAGCTCAAGTTATGTGGGACACCCTCTATATTTATATATGTTTATATATTTTCATATTTATATGGGGAAAGTACAGAGCCCACGTGCTTGCCAATAAATTTTCGTGTGACCTGTAGTGCTCAAGATTGGGTAAAATTTTCATTGTTTGAAGAATATCTGCTTTATATTTACATTTCTTGTTCATTTACTTTGTGTCAGGGCAGCACACATATGCATGCTCATGATGTTTCATTGTTAAAATGAAGAGTGGAGAACATTCGGCATACATTGTTGGTTTTGTGTGTGTGTGTGGGGGGGTCACTTTGGTCTAGTGGCTAAGGTACTCGACTGCCGACTCGCAGGTCACGGGATCGAATCCCGGCTGCAGCAGTTGCATTTTTGACGGAGGTGAAACGCTGTAGGCCTGTGTGCTCAGATTTGGGTGCACGTTAAAGAACCCAGGTGGTCGAAATTTCTGGAGCTTTCAACTACGGCGTTCTTCATAATCATATGGTGCTTTTAGGATGTTAACCCCACATATCAAATCAAAACCCTACATATTAATCAATCAATCCTGTGTGTGTGTGCGTGTGTGTGTGGTCAAGTGGTCTGAATCGTACAAAAAAAAACTTGCTCATTATTTCATGCTTCAAACCCTATACACACGTCGCAATCAATACCTCTTCTCTTTGCTGCTGTTTTTACCTTTATTGAATGCTGGTCCCACATTTTGTCATTGCATAGCTCCCAAAGTTCTTACCGCTCTATTTATAAAATAGTGGAAGCAGTCCCCCCCCCCCAACTGGTGTGTTGTCTTTCTCACATTAGCTTCCCAAAGTTTACGCAACTTTTTCAATAATTACGTGGTTTTGAATTTAATGAATACTTATTTCACTTTTTATGCTACCTTTTTGAGGGTTGAACCTTTAGCAAATCGAATATTTAATTACATATGATAGAACAAACCGCTATTGCAAGAGCCATTGCACTGAGAAATTGCCACTGAAACATGTGTACGTGCATATTGCCTCTATTCACTTTTTGTTTCAGTATTGCTATGCCTAGTGTTTCAGTGTGATGTAATATAAAGGCGAGTGCTGTCTGAAGTGTGTTTGGCAGCAGGAACCCTAGTGAGACTCGCAACCCTGTAGTCCTCCTCCCCGTCCTCTTGATTGATAAAAAAAAAAAGCAATTGGATCTGAATAAATGCGCAACCATCCAAAGTTATATTTAGTGCATTTAAACTGCACCTGGAGTATTCTTCTATTTGCCTTCACTTGGCTGGCTTGTACCACCGGCACTGTAGGAGTTTGACTTCAAATTCACCATCAGGGAAAACTAAAGCACAATAGTAGTCTGATTTTGTCTAGCAGTGTAGGTGCCTAATTTTCTTTTATGGATAATTGATATCAGTATCTTGTAGCGGAGGTTCAGCCATATCTGCAGAGTGACGCATCTCTACTTCCTGCAGCTTGTGACAGAGAACATGACCACCTACACCACTGCTGCCAAGCTGAGGGAACAGGAACGAGCAACAGCAGAGGGCCAGAAGGAGATACGGCAACTACAGGCAGAGTTTCAGCAGGCTCGGGAGGACTATGACATGAAGCTGACCAACCTGCTCAAAGAGCACCAAGAAGAGGTTAGTGGCATAAGTATCCTCTGCAGTCTTTTTTTCTGTGTTTTGTCTTTTTCTACGTACAGTGAGGCATATGTAATTATTTTGGCTGGATATGGCAGGAGAAACAACAGAAATAAATGTATACAGTCGAACCGGGATATCCAATCTGAAGAGAACAAAAATTTCTCATTCAGTAAAACCTCTGATCGTATGAATATTGAAGTGATGTAAATTTTTCTTTAGTGCAGGCCAAGGTTCATTAACGTGCAAGTAATGGAGTATGGTCGTTATGAACAGATTTTCACCCTGTTATGCTTGATGGGAACATATGCAGCCATGCAAATACAGATGCTGCCTGTGCTGTCGTAGATGTGACAACCATGCATGCGCTCGGAATCCCCACACGCCACATCACGAGTTCGTCAGAATAAACCTTCAGGGATGGGCTGTAGCTTCAGAAACTGTATGTATGTGCCCTGATGCACCTACGTGGGCCTAGGTGCTTAGATTACAGATGGCGTCGACATCGAGCTTTTTTTTTTTTTTTAACATGCCGGCCTGCTAACCAGGAACCATGTCAAATTATGTCCGAAATTTTGCATCCTGAAACACTAATACAGTCAAATCTCGCTAATTCGAACTCGAAGGGGCCCGAAAATGTGTTCGAAATAAAGTTCAAATTAACAAAAGCTTAATAAACGGAGGGCTCTCCGTGCAGTGGGGCATGTGCATTGAGCTAACACATGAGGGGGAAGTTTCAGAAGACTTGCATTTATTCACAAATCGCAGAACATCCGATATTAATTGAAGTAATCGGGGATGCACGCCTGCACACGTTTGCCTTGCAGCGAGTCAATCAATTTCGCACGCAGCTTGCAAAGCATTTCTTCGGCTTCAGCATTTTTCTGGCAAGAGAAGTTGCGCGGAAATGTCCAGCGCCGACACTTTCTAAAGAGGACAACAATGACTGCATAGCAGCCACAGCAAGGCCAGCACGTGACGAGAAAGGAGCGTTCCCACGCGGAAAGAAGGAGATAGACATTTGAGAGAAAGCCAACACTACACGGCAGCTTATAAAGAAAATGGATGGTATCAAACTTCTTATTGTGAGTGAATAAAAACATGTCAAAATGCCCCGTAAGGCTACGTGTTACGTCTAAAATCATAAAACTGAGAAATATGCATTTGAAGTTTTAGTTTTTTATAAATTGATGTGGTATTGCAGCATTATAGTATAAAAGGCATCACTATGTAGCTTTGCCCTTCAGGAACAGGATAATATCATATATTTTACAACAATGTCACAGGAACCATAAAAAATTTGCTGTATTATCATGCATAGTCCTTGTAAATAGTGCGAGACAGCTGCTACCAAACATTCATCATTGTATTTCGGCTTGTATTTGTACACTGTGCATGAAAATGACATGCCTATGGGGTCTATGTTGTCGCTATTCGCACCAAGGTCAGGGTCACAAAAATAAAAAAAGGGAAAAATAACATTATTTGAATTCTCGCAATGACAAGGGCTTGAATCTACACTTAACAGCTGACCACAACTGTAAGCAGTGTTTGTCTTTGACGAGCTTGTTTTTCGTGGCATTCCTGACTACATGGAATTTGTTGCATATACTATAAATGACGTTATTGATGGATCTCCAATCACTCTCGGCGAAGTAAATCGCTCATCGCGCATGCCGCGCGCTGAACAAGCCCTCATGAGTTTCACACTCAAGTCCTCTTTTCTTTGCTTCTTGGACACTGTCGCCGCAGTCGGTGCAAATCATAAGTCCGAAAAGGTAAACACGCTCAAATGTACCATAGAGAATTGTGTTCCATTATCCCTGAAGTTCCCCCGTTTCGTGTCAACGCCGAGAAGTTCAAACTTTCGTTCAGTTTCCGACGACGCCAAGTGCTTTTTCACGTCGGCCGCACTTGGTGCACGCTGGCTATTTTCTTCAGCCGATAAGAAAATGTTGTGGACACGTTTTCTGATAACACTCGAGGCTTGGACCGACAAAATATACACACTACACGTGCCAAGATGCGTTTTCGTACACAAAGTGCCAACCGACGAACCCCGATGCATTCCGCGGCAGCACTCCAGGCATGGCTGAACGAGGCACACACGCTAGATGTAGTGGGCCGCGGCGCTGTATTTGATGCGTCAACAGGCAATTCCGCATATGATGAGTTCTGTGCTGTCATTAGAGGAGTCCACGCTGGATGCAGGTGCGTGTTCAATTCGTCCAGCGGCTATTGCAGAACATTCCTTTGCCGAATTTTGTTGGACAACCCATAGTCGGTCATTTCTTGCCGAATACGCATTGCATAGTTTTCTTCAGACGAATGTCTTCAGACATTTGAGCAGCTCAATAATCGCAGTAGTTTAAACACAGTAGTGAAGTTGTGAACCTGAAAAACGTTGCGGTGCAGCCGAAAGCCCGAGCAGAGAGAGTGCGCGATCACAACGAGAGACCGGGCAAAAAAAAAAAAAAGGCAAGACAAACGCGGGGTACCAATAGAAGGTCAGCGCGCGGGGCGAGCTTGCGCTTTGACCAATCACGTGCTCGCAAGTGACCTTCGGAAAAAAGAGTGGTATCGTCGCTCTCGCTGCACCGGCGGCATTTTGAAGATAGGGAAAAGTTGCACAAAGAAAGCAGCTTCGAAACAACTCCAAGATGGCGGCGCCCAGTCGCTGTGTTCAGAAGTTACGAGTGCACGAACTTCGAACATAATTAGTCGATTTTCCGTCATTTGGCTTCCACCTAGGCATGCAAAACGCTGCTTTTTAAAAAAATATTTTGACATTGAATACAGTGTTCAGATTTCGCCGGAAGATAAATAGTCTAAATGCCGGGATACTACACTTTTACGAAAATTCACTTTTTTGCGATTTGTTGCCATTTCAATACCCGCCCGCATCCCGACAGCTAACAGACTTTATTGACGTGTCGGTGCTATGCCAGAAACAAGCAGCGACTTGCATTCACGTGAGTAGTGAGCCTTAATGCCAAATATACAAAACAATTTGTCCTCCAAAACACGTTTATTTACATGGCAGAGTTAATGCAATTAAAATTTAGTCTTTCGTACTTAGTCTATTTCAAACAATACTGAAGTTGTCCAAGGGGGACACTGCTAAAGGCAAGCATTGCCCAACTAAACCGTGCGATTCCTACAGCAGTAGAAACAAACACATTTACAACCATAAAAGCATACATGTAAATCAATTGCTACGTTTGTTTTACAGATGCAGAAATCTGCCAAGAATAATCAGCCAACTCATTTCTTTCAAGGCGGAACAAAAGCCAGTGGTCTCCCAGTTGAGTTAATCGTTGTAGATACAGACACGTTTGAACACACCAGACTGTGCACTTTCACTTGCTCGTTAATTCAGTACTCATGACCGAATACCTGACCAAATTATTTCAGAATTGGCGTCCTTAGTGCAGCCATCAACTATTCCAGTGCTGCTTGCATTTTAAAAAACTGAAGTATAAGTCTGCATTCCATACTTAGCGGGCCGGAAGTTTGATCTACAATTGTCTATCGTTGCTCAAGGGCATTGACAGGTCATAACTGCTAGTGAAACCACACTATACAACGTACTTTTACTGAATGCGAAAGCTGATGTGCGAGAGAATGATGTGAAGAGTAGTGGCGAAAGTTTAAGAAATGTCAAAAATGGGTTTTTTGTAATCGTCGTCAGAATTTTTCTATTGCATGCTTCTGTCTTGAAGCTAACGTGACTGTATCTTTTTATTGAAAAGTGTTATGAACATAAGCTTTGGCAGTTTTATAAACAAGCATACTGGGAAAGTAATCCAAAATTTACACCTCTGTTGTAGGCCGTTCTTGAAATAAAGACCTGCAAAATAGACAAAAAAACGTTTTCTAGGTAGAGTTTAGGATTTGTTATAAAAACATCTCCACTACGCAGAGAATAAAAAAAATTATTGGGCTTAAGTGAAAATACGTCTGGATTTAGCTAAACAAATTTGAGGTACATGTATCTTAAATATATTTTGTTTAATTCGTCGCCAAATTCGGAAATAACAGCAAGGCAGGTAAACGTGGCATTCCACCTCTTCATCATAATTGATTTACGGTGCTTCGAACAAAATTTTTTCGGGCAAAGACAATTGCAGTTAAGTTTGTGGGAGGCTTCTATACTTTTATGATATCCAGAAGGGCCAACGTAGCTGGGTTAAAAAAAGACCTTACCTCTTCTTTCCACTCATCAGACAACAATATATAAAATTTTGAAAGAAATTCGAGAGGTAGACCGGCCATGCTTGGTTTGATCTTACGTGGAATCGCCCACTTATGCATTGCCAGGACTAGGGCATCAAAATTGAAAAGCTTCACTCAGTTGTACCATTCGAGTAACAACGCCGTTTCAGAAATTCTGATTTACTGCAGCAACATCATTTCAGAAATTTGATTGGCTGAGGTAAGCATATGGTGTGCTAACCTGCAAACTGTTCGCACTAAAACCTTCTTATAACAAAGTTACAGCTAGCACAAAATAAGCTTGTTATATGCGAAAATTTGTTGTAAAGGTTTATTCCTAACACTGCATCTATTGCAAGACTAATTTTCATTTACTTTCTTATAACCGATTTGGGTTAGATATCTGGTTTAGGTATTTTAAGGTCTGAGTGTTTAAGGGTAAGCATACCGAGTGTTGTGCTTATACTCCGATACTTTTTTTTTTTTCCTTTTATTATCCAGAAACTCGTCTTTCTTAAGCACAGCGCCAACGCAACGCTTCAGTCGAACCCAGACCTGGATACTTCCATCGTCGAGAAACTGGAAAGCCAGGTACTTCTTCAGCCCCCTTAATCTGCCCTCCCATACGTGAGAAAACTGAGGAATGTATGAGCAAGAAAAGTGAAGAATGCATGAACTGGCCTGTATTGCATTACGACATTAGGTACATTATAGAGGCAAATACTGCAAGTAAATATTACTTGCATCGAAGGGTATCGCATATGTACATGCAATTTTGTTACTCTTGTAGCCATCTTGTTTATTATGTGTCTGAGGCTTTTATTGGAAAAAAATTTCACCAAATTGCTCTTTTAGCTTTGAAATTCGTTGTGATCAGTACTGTATAGTGCTGAAACAACCTCTGCAAGATTGTATAGATAGTAATGGTACAGTTTTTTTTCCGGCACGATTGACATAGGTCCAGGAACTATCCCGGCTGCAGTATGTCCACGATGAGCTCAAGAAAAAGTCTGAGGAAGTGGAAGCTTTGGAAAGGGTGGGGTCCCACTTTCATTCCTACCATAACTGTATGCACTAACTATTTGTGTCAAAAACACGGAAAAACGAGTCCTTAGGAATACACTTCTTTCCTTATTCATTAACGAGAGTCTCGTATTGGCAGACCTTTTGCCTTTAGGTTGTATACGAGGGACTATTAATCATCTGCCCGCTCTTAATAAGTTCACGTGCTACGTGACGCCCCATATGCGCCTAAAAGTGTGTTTCACACTCGTCGCATGGTTCATAGAGGGCGCTGACTGACACTCCTACTTCTAAATTCACATATAAACCCAAAAAAAGTGGATGGAGGGAAGGTCGCTGTGGTAGCTCAGTGGTTAGAGCATCGAACGCGTTATTCGAAGGCCTTAGGTTCGATTTCTACTCATGGCTGGTTAATTTTTCTCCCACTCTTCTTTCTTATTTACATTCCATTGGTTCTAATAACTTACCCTGTACATTCCTTCGCATTACTGTCTGTTAGATCTCATTATATTGTGTCAAAAACACGGAAAAACGAGTCCTTAGGTATACACTTCTTTTTCTTATTCATTAACGAGGGTCTCGTACTGGCAGACTTGGTGTCATTAGGTTGTATACGAGGGACTATTACTGAGCTGCCCGCTCAAAATAAGTTCACGTGCTACGTGACGCCACATATGCGCATAAAAGAGTGTTTCACACTCGTCGCTTGGCTTATAGATGGCCCTAACTGACACTCCTACGTCTAAATTCACAAATAAACCCACAAAAAGTGGATGGAGGGAAGGTCGCTGTG